TGAATTAGTTTCAGAGTATTTAATATAGGAGGGATATTTAAGGTTATAAAATTATGTCCTATTATGGATCGAATCCCTTAAAATAGTATTCTTCATTAGATAAAAATGAAAAAAAAATCCTTTTTTGTTTTGTTTAAAAAATATGTGGTAGAGTAAGATACATGGCATCCTACTAGCTTGGGCTAGTGGGTTAAACCTTAAGCTCAGTTGGTAGACCATTGGACTGGCAAGCCAGAGGCCCCGGGTTCAATCCCCAGCAGAGGCAATAAATTGTCTCTGTTACATTTGGCGCCCACGTTTAGACCTGGGTGTTCTCTGACGGGTGAGAGTGATTGCCCCCAGAACTTCGCCCTACAGGTGTCGGCACTCCAAAAGAGATGATGACATCTCATTCTCTGGAGGGGACAATGAAGTAGTGTAAGATTACACAGCATCCTACTAGCTTGGGCTAGTGGGTTAACCCTCAATTGGTAGAGCACTGGACTGGCAAGCCAGAGGCCCCGGGTTCGATCCCCAGCAGAGGCAATAAATTGTCTCTGTTACAAATATTCCTTATATAATTACAAAAAACACCTTTTTATGCAATTAACAAGAGGGCTTGGCCAATACTACACATCCTAGTTTGATTTTATTGACGTGCCATTGAACTAAAAATGACTGTATATGGACGATTATTATTTGTATGTATGACTAAATAAGCTATATAGACAGGGTTTGCGGAATTTCCGGTGTGCGTGGGATGTGTGAATCACTTGTTTCCCAAAAAATGTACATGTTATAACATAGATATCATGTATGTGTTTGTAGTCTTTGACACTTTATTGTTCTATATAAAAGTTGTTCACACCACGGAGTGGTAGGATTTGAAAAGATTAGATATTATTGAATTCATAGAAGAAAGATAATAAATTAATGTAAGAAAGAAATATACGCAGTATCTGGGTATTATCACAATATATTTACATTCAGTGTTATTTTCTTTATGAAATCCATTAGAAATCCACGACCTTCAAATCTCTATAACATACGCGAAACCTTGTCACCGCGCGTTAGAATACACAGTCGAAACTATATACATTTTCAATTCTCTAGGAACACCAAAAGGTACATTGTTTTGAAACAATCTAATAAAAAAATAACCCTGTTATATAAACATAAAAATACAACAAATGTGCGTGTAAAATTAATTTGTCACTTTTTTCCAGCGCAATGTTCGTTTGCGTTATCTAACTTTGCAACGTCGTCACAAACGGCTCTTACGTTTATAATACACACCAGTTTTGAAGGGCGCTAAATTCACATTAAAGATAACCGAAATAAACAATTATGAAGAGGAAAAATCAGAGAATGTAAATATAAGCATTGAATTCATATTTTGGGTTGTTTTCGGTTCTATAACACACTTGGCCGTTCCGACAAATTATCATACCGTGCTAACGCGCGGTATTCAATTTATCGTCACGGCCAGGTGTGTTATAGGACCGAAGACATTCTAAAATATGAAGTCAATGCTTAAGTACATAGCGAGTGTTCAAAAAAGAGCTTTCTCGTCTATTTCTTTATCTCAGTAAGTAAACTCAGGTGACTTATTGCTATTCGTTTTCGTCCGTCGTCGTGCGTTAACATTTGAACATTTTCAGCTTCTTCTCTGCAACCACTGAACCAATTTCAACCAAATTTGGCACACAGCATCTATGGGTGAAGGGAAACAAAAATTGTGAATCTCATGATCCCTGCCCCCTCTTGATGCCTCTACCAAAATTGTGAAATTAATGACCCTGGGGTCAGGGGTTTTAGTGCTAGGGCGGGGCAAATAAGTATAAAGTGAAAATGCATTATTTCTTTGAAAATCTTCTCTGTTCCTGGGTATTAAATAGACTAACTAAGTGCATAGTTATGATGAGCAAGAGTGCCTCTACCAAAATTGTGAATTTTATGGCCCCAGGGTCAGGGGTTCTGGTGTTAGGACGGGGCTCTATTGATTATATAGTGAAAATACATGAATTCTTTGAAAATCTTCTTCTTTGCTCCTAGGTATTAAATAAACTAACTATGTACATAGTTATGATGAGCAAGAATGCCTCTACCAAAATTGTGAAATTAATGACCCTGGGGTCAGGGGTTTTAGTGCTAGGGCGGGGTTAAATAAGTATAAAGTGAAAATGCATTATTTCTTTGAAAATCTTCTCTGTTCCTGGGTATTAAATAGACTAACTAAGTGCATAGTTATGATGAGCAAGAATGCCTCTACCAAAATTGTGAATTTTATGGCCCCAGGGTCAGGGGTTCTGGTGTTAGGGCGGGGTTCTATTGATTATATAGTGAAAATACATGAATTCTTTGAAAATCTTCTTCTTTGCTCCTAGGTATTAAATAAACTAACTAAGTGCATAGTTATGATGAGCAAGAATGCCTCTACCAAAATTGTGAATTTTATGGCCCCAGGGTCAGGGGTTCTGGTGTTAGGACGGGGCTCTATTGATTGTATAGCGAAAATATAAAATCAAAAATTGTGCAATGTGTGGATATAGGCTTAAGGGTCAGGGGTTCATGTGTGGTAGGGACACTACTGATTATTGCTGAATTTTACTGATTAGTTGAAATGCATTTTTTGTCCCCCTACCCTGCCTATGGGTATTAAGTAACTAAGCAACTGCTAAGTATACAGTCATGATGATCAATGGTACCTCTTTCAAAATTGTGAATGCCATAGCATCTGGCTTAAAACATGATACAAATTCAATCACTGGAAAGTTGTTGCATAATGCTCAGGTGACCTATAATGCCCATGGGCCTCTTGTTTTCTTTATTAGTTATCTCAAAGGTTTCATCAATAGTAAAAAAACAAGATAGAACTTCTTAGTTTGAATGCTATTCGTTGTAACCATACATATCATGTTTAGTTTAATTATGAAAAGTTCCGTCTTATACATGTATTGCCTAAGACAAAAATTGCATTGAACATATTTCCTTTTGGTAAATATATCTTTGTCAAGTTTTGATAATTATTCTCATCGATTGTCATATACCTAATGCATTGTGATTCTTATCCCTCTGACAGTGTGTAGAATCGTTTGCTGAAATTTATCAGGAAAAGTAATCTATATCGAATTAAAGTCCAGAGAGCAAGCTGCCGTAGGCAACGATATATATAGAAAAACGTGATTAATGCCAACTGAAGAGAGTAATTAATTTGTAGATAAGATCAAGATAAAGAGAGAGAAAGAGAGAGAGTATCTAATATTTTTTACATCAATTTTTCAAATTTTACTAATGTGTTGTCAATTAATGATGGTTATTTCCATTCTTATGTCGATACGATATTTGAGCATTGAATTCTTATTTTTGTATGTTTTCCGTCGTATAACACACCTGGCCTTGCCGACAAATTAAACACCTCAACTTTTCTTTCTTCATCATTGTTTATTACGTTAATCATTATTATGACTCTAGCGCCTCTCAGAACTGTTGTGCTTAATAGACGTGAGAGACATTTGTGACGTTGGAAAGTGAAATAACGCAAAAGAACGTTGCGAGAAAAAAAAATGACAAATTAATTTTAAACGTACAGTTTTAAAATTTGTATTTTTACGTTAATTTACCAGGTTGGTTGTTTTTATTAAATTGTGACAAAACAATATACATTTTGATATTCCTACAGTATTGAAAATATATGTAGTTCCTACTTTGTATTCTAACGCATGTTGACATGGTTTCGCGCGTGTTTTAGAAATTTGAATGTCGTGGCTTTGTGATGGATTAAGAAAAATTAAACAGAATGGATATACATCCCGGTGAGCTTGAAATAAAAGATACTACAGAGTCTGACACATCTGTTTATTGTAAGGCCATTGTTTTTGTTTTTATACTAAACTTATCTACGAAAAGTACCGTCTTATGGACAGGAGGTGATACAAACAAACTTGAATTGTCTTAAAAATTGAAAATATTAACTTTAGTCATGTTTTAATGAATTACAATGTAACATATAATAAGCAACCCAGTTTCCCAGCATAGTTTATGTAATGGATTGTCCTGTCTCTAATGCATCGTTATCGAAATCCCAGTTTGTAAATGTGAAAACGTTTTCAGAAATCTATTAGGAAAAGTTACCTATAAAACTATTGAAGTTTCAAATAGCAACAAGCTGCCATGGGCAAAGATATACATGATATATGGAAAACAATGATTAAATTCAAGTCAGAAGAGAGCAACCAGTTTATATATAAGATCAAGATAATGAGAGAGAGAGAGAGAGAGAGAGAGAGAGAGTCTGTTTTAATCTTTAACATTAAAAAGGGACATGGACACAGTTTAAGCTGAATATTTTCAAATTTATTTTTCCTTTTTTTAATGTTTACAAATATTTAACTAAGATATTTCTAATGATCATCACAAATCTGAATTTCTGTTGTCGAGATACAGTACAGATTTAGAGCTCAAAACCTGTGTTTGTAAACAGGGCCTGTGCCATGTTTTTATTTAAATAGGGATATTAATTAAATGTATTAAAAAATCAGTTGAAATTGTGTTCATGTCCCTTTAAGGTTAATATTTATAATTAACATGGTAGGTCTGTTAGTGAATATTTTGATTTCGGCTTTATTTATCATCATCAATGTAAACATATAAAAAATATAGCTCAACAACCAAATGCAAGATAAAGACAATTTCGATAAAAATTACCAAAATAAAAATTGCTTGATAAAAACTATGTTTAAATTTATATGGACATGTTTGATATTTGAACCTTATATGAACTTTCTTTCATCACGTTTTCCCTAAAACAATGATACGGGGTAGCTCTGTTTTATGGTATAGATCTGATACCACTACTTAATGGCGCTTATTCACAGGTCATTAACTTTGATAAAGTATAAAGTTGCTAATATAAGAAAACTTACTTTCAGACCTTCTGTGAATTTATCTAGGAGGGGTCGAAGGCGTGGAAGGACGCCCTTCGTAAGATAGAATTCTCTGAAACAGCTGATCGACGAGTTATGGCTGCCAGAAATCTGTGCATACTTCTTGGTTTCTTCGCAGTTGCTGCATCTGCGCAGTTAAGTTCTAAGTATTGTCCACATGAGCAGCCTGACGTTAACTACAAGGCTTGGTCTTCTGAGAGCAGCTGGACCTCTGGGGTAAGTAATGATGCGCAATGCAAAAAGTATTTTGAAATGCAATCTCTTTTTTAAATACATCTGCAACACATGCACCTGATAATTCTTATTTTTCTTTCCATAAAAAAAATATACTCACAACGTTTATTATTAGGTAAAGGGTATACTTTTTTTCAATGAAAGAAAAATACGTAACGTCAGTTGCCTGTGAGCTGCAATGACTTAACTTGTTATGCAGTACTATAAGTCATTAGCAACACTAGATAGGTTTCGGCCACAAGTAAGTACATTGTACATGAGTATCATGATTGTAGAAACCATACAAAAACACCTCTTATTCGTTGGGTTCTGTAATTATTATAAATTCATTTTCAAAAAGACAAAAATTTTTCTTCCTTTCTAGATTGTGGTGAAGACATAAACTTCAAGAACACAAAAGTTAACATTTGTACATGTACCCCCTATATGACCCAATCACTCGGCCAACTTATGTGTTCTTTTTATTTTTTTTTTTATTTTTTTTTTTGATAGATAGGAGGTCAATGTCTCTGAAGATAATGAATAGTTATCAATCCCATAAAATTTATTAATAATACTTTTCGCAGACAATTCAGTGCAGAAAAAAGGCTTTACAACTGGTATGATACAAGTCAGCTAAAATACCACCAAATGATAAGTTATATTTGTAACAAAGTCTTAACGACAATAAAATGTACAAAATGACGACTGTAAACAAGGTTTTTGAAACCCCTGTAACATCAACTAATAAGTGAGTAGTATGTCTTGCTTTAGAATTGAATACTCATGTACTCAGAGCGAGATCTTGAGTAGCGCTGGCGAATAATTTGCGAGACATAAACACCATAAGCAGGAGGTCGTGGAATGGTACTATATAATTAAGGGAAAATGACGATGGAAAAAACCTGAAGACATCCGTTTGTCATACAATGTATTTGTGTTTGTACTTACTTGAAAACATTTGACTAGACACCTCTTCCATTAGGAGGAGCACGTGTTGAGTCTCTTTGATTCCATCATTGAATGTGTATCTTACCCGAAGGAAACAATTGCAATTGGTATTTGATAAGGAGGTTAAGTATGCAGCAAGGTAAACAAGAAACCAGATAAAGACCCTATAATTGTGGTATCTCGTAAGAGGTGAAAAAATCTTAAAAGGGACGATAAACAAACTTAATTAATTATTTAATGTATAAATAAAATGATGGCATTTTGACGAATAATTATGTCTTTTTCTTCAGAAATTACCGGAAGCTACAACCGACGTCACTTTAGATGACGGGGTCTACCTCTTGGATACGTCGGTTGACGTCAGAAGCGTCACGGTTGCCAAGGACGCTACCCTCGTGTTTAAGGACGTCGACCTCACTGTCAAGACTCGCTACATCCTGGTCCGTGGGGCGCTTTATCTTGGCTCTGAAACGTGTAAACTCAAAAGCACCATTGATATTACCTTATATGGTATGTTTACTATAGAAAATGTTAATAGAAATTTGGACTACTTGTTGCTGATTTTAAATTGATCACTTATAATTGACTGCATTGTTTGATAATTAAAATAAATTACCCGATGGGACGTCAAATTTTTGTGAAACAGCTGTTAGAGAATATGAAACTTCTAAAAAATATATTCAAAAAAACTGCAAAAATTGGTCCTTGATCATCATATACAGGCAAAAACATATTCATGACAAAGTTTAACATAACAATCACTTTAAGTAAAAAAAAAAAACTACATATATATACTTTTGCCTGTATCATCATATGTCCTGGTTTTTTAAGTAAACATTTTATTCAGGTAATAAAGGAGATGTTTCAATAACTGGTTTTGGAGAGAAATTCATTGGAGTAGATAGCGGGGGGATACTCCATCTTCACGGGAATGAAAAACTGCCGTGGAGTAAACTGACCCAGACAGTCAGGAAAGCGAAGGACGGAGAGATCTCAGATATTTACGTACGAAAATCAAAAATCTTTAGAATTTATGGATATTATAATCTTTGGGTTGCCATAGATAATATGCAGTCATGTAATTATAATTTTTAAAATTTTTGTTCTAATTATAAAAGAAATTGATATCTGTAATTTTGTGTTTGAACAAAGAAATACGAAGAAAACGAAAATAAATCTAGCTCAAATATCCATTGAATCAAATCCAATTTAAACTTAGATTTTTGATCCGCTCCACCAGATCGCCAGATTTAGCAATACAGTGAAGCGGATCAAAGATCTACGTTTTATGAGAATCACTATGGTATTTCATGTTTTAGAACGAAGATGGTGTCAAAAAAGCCCACTTTCAAGGAATTGTGATGTATATCTGGAACGCAGAATCCGGGGAGCTTGAGGAAGCGAAGCGTGCGTACGCAGCTGGTCGATACACTGTCACCAGGGCGGGAAATCAGTGCGAGACTGAACGGGATGCCAAACAGTTTGAAGAAATGCTTAACGGTATTTCTCTTCACAACTTCGCGAATGTTTAACAGAAAGTGCATTTCTGAACAAAATATTTAAAAAGCACTGGTTCTGACAAAGCTCACGTTTTTAAATTATGCTTTGTGTCTCTACGCAGAATTTTCCGGGCAAAACTATGAACATCAGAACTGTACTAAAACCTTAGGTGCCTATGATGAGTAACGCTTTTGTTTATTACGCAATTTTTCTCTTCTTCTACAGATGTACCCGACGGTAAAATTGTTGGATTGGCTTTAGTACGACATCTTTTGCACAGAAATGTCAATTACGCCATGTTCTACGAAATCTTTGAAAACTTTGCCTTCGGGAGAGTGACGGGCAACAGCGGTGTACGCGATCTACGTCTACACGATGCTTGGTCCTTCATCATGAAGAAAGGTATCGTATACAGATCTAGTTTTTCTTTTAAAAACGACCTCGTGGGGATCCGGGTTAGAATAGGTCCACAGTACCCCCTTGCTTGTCGTAAAAGGCGACTAAATGGGGCGGTCCTTCGGATGAGACCGTATAAACCGAGGCCCCGTGTCACAGCAGGTGTGGCACGATAAAGATCCCTCCCTGCTCAAAGGCCGTAAGTGACGAGCATAGGCCTAAATTTGCAGCCCTTCACCGGCAATGGTGACGTCTCCATATCAGTGAAATATTCTGGAGAGGGACGTTTGTGGCAACGCACTTTGAAAAAATTTTTCAAAGTGCGTTAAATTTTGGGACCAGGTTAACGCACTTTGAAAAAATATTTTTTTTTTCAAAGTGCAATCACCATATTAACGCACTTTGAAAAAAAATTCTGCATGGCTTCCTACAAATCTTAGGTATGATAAATTATCATTTGAACCTGATTTGATACATTTTGTCCCCCGCTTGAAAAGTGGGAGATATTAATTTGGGTCTATCTGTCAGTCCGTCTGTCTAGCTGTCCGTCTATCCGTCTTTCTGTAACGCTTTCGTTTCCACACGATATCTCGCCAACCCTATGAACATTTGCAATGAAATTTAACATAACAGAATCCCTGTGGCCTTAGGAAGTCCCCTTTTGAATTTGGGGTCAAAAGGTCAGCATTCAATGTCGTAAAGAACTACGAACGATAGTATAATGATTGTTCTTCCGCCTATCTCTTACTCAATTCTCAAAAGTTAACATTTTGGAATGATTCTCAAAAAATCAAAAAATCGAAAAGCAGACAGGTACTGTAGATTCCTTAATATAAGCGAGGAATTAATTTCAATTTCGCAACACTTATTCATTTTTCTGGTGCTTAAATCTATGTAAAATCTGTTCATTAACCGTCATTCGCGAATTATAATTCTAGCGATTTGACGTTTGAGAGCCAGGCGATGAAAAACACTCGCGAAAAATAAGGAATTTACAGCTAGTAATTAATATTCTGATTTTCCTGAAAATGAACATAAATAGACTTTGAGATTTAAAAGAACAAAAATTCGATTTACTACAGACTTCCTTGTACAGTGCTTATATTTAAAAGAACAAAAATTCGATTTACTACAGACTTCCTTGTACAGTGCTTATACTGTATTTAGAATGCTCTTTTTTTCAAATATCATTGACACTTAAGGAAACGAGTTATAGAAATAGATATATCTTGGTGGGAATGATAAAGAGTTGAGCTGATAGACCTTAATTCAGCCAGTCTTTTCTTCGTTTTCCGTTTCTTGGTTTTCTTCAATCCATCAGTTTTAAGAAAGAAACACATCAAAGTAAGGGCACCGCAAAGCGGAAGCATGTTCAGTAAATCATTTGACATCGATCCCGATACAAATTACGTCAATTCCACACAGAAAAAACTAACATACACATAAAGTATTAACACACATAATCGCATCACTATATCCCATCATACGTTGCGAGGGGATAATACTGTTGTCTATTTCTAAAATATAAGTCTAATTCCTTTTGTTTAATGAAAATTTTTTTCAAAGTGCGTTAAATGTTTACATGGTGTAAAATTATGATGTACAGTTTTAACGCACTTTGAAAAAATTTTTCAAAGTGCGTTGATTTGGTCCCAAATTCAACGCACTTTGAAAAAATTTTTCAAAGTGCGTTAACCTGGTCCCAAAACTTAACGCACTTTGAAAAATTTTTTCAAAGTGCGTAATTTTTCAAAGTGCGTTGTAACAGACGTTAAACAGTACACAATCAATCAATCAATCTTTTAAAAACGCGAAGGTTTACTGTCTGTAGGGAAATCATAAAACAGTAAACTGGCATCCCAGTATCAGGTAATATCTTTGGTTTGGTTTGTATTACAGCAGCAACTTTTCACGAACACTGAAGTCCGTAAAAGCTTGGGGGTGGGGGTAAAACAGAGAAACTATTATCTCGCACTTCGTGCTCGGTCGGTATTTTTTTCCATAAAGAATATCTATCAATAGACCTCAAGAAAAGGCTATACTAAGTGTCATGTATAAGTTGTTGGAATGAGTAATATAAAGAACAGAGAACTAACGATCTTTATTGGTTCTTTTATCAACAAAATTGTGAACCTCAGAGGCGTAGTTTTCTGTCTGTTTTTTTTTAGTTCTAAATTCGCCGAAATCGTTCTTTGAAATAGTTCAAAGATCACAAACATATTGTTTGATTAAGGAGATGGCTCCTGTCCTTTGTTATGTGTCATACCTTGATTTGTTTAAGGTGACAGCTCTACAGCCCAAGAATTACTTTTGAAAGACGATAAGGTAAAACTGGAGCGTGCTGCCGAGTTATACCATTATGAAAATAACATCAAGTTTACCGTCAGGAGCTGGGTTCACACTATACGACGTGGTGCCTGCTACTCACGAGGAAAGAGCGCTCAGGCTGATATCGCGGATCCAAAATTATCGCTGACTGGTGACGTCACTTCCTGGAAAGATGGTTGGTATTAATTGAATTATCTTCATCATCCAAATATTATGCAATTAAAGCAATGTTGAAGTCTTACGTACTCTGCCTAAAGTAATAATCAGCTCCTCAGGCACAAAACTAAAATGGAATACTTATAAGAGACTTGATACTTATCTAGAAGGATATGGAGATAACGAACAATCTTCAATATCAAGTCCATAAAACAAAACAAAATAGGAGCAGAGCAAACACGGACCTCCGAAACATCAGAGGTGGGATCAGGTGCCATGGAGGAGTGAGCATCCCCTGCTGAACAGTCACATCCGCCCTCTGCTCATTGTCATGAGCGTGAAATAAAGGAAAACTCCGTCGTCAATTCATTGTATAAATAATGGACTAACAATTGGTATGAAAAACGTCAGTCAGCATTTGACTCAATGATACTAGTAAATTGTATTTGCTGACAAAGTCATTGTATCCACCATAGAACTTACGAAATGATGACTTTAAGCGAGACTGCTGATATTCTTGTTTTATCAACTTGCTTGTCAATAATTTACCTCGTTTTAGAAATTGTTCATACAAAGAGCATGCTCTTGCGTGTCGAATCAACTGAGATATATACACTCCCTATGCAGGTGATGAAGGTATATTGCTGCATAAGTAAGGGAAGTTGACGACAGAAAAGTTAAGGTCGTCACGTTTATCATATAACTTGGTTGTTAGGTTACCATTAATGTCTTTTTCAAGTAAAATATCCAAGTATGAAACAGGTGTGTCAGACTCTGTAATATCTTTTATCTCAAGCTCTCCTGGATATATCGTATCGACGTAGGAATGGAAATTACCATTGTTAATTGACAATACGTCGTCGATATATCTGAAGGTCGAGTTGAAGGCCACAGCGAGTGTTTTCTTCTTTTCACGCATAAGATTTTGCATAAATTCTGCTTCATATGAATACAAAAATAGGTCATATTTCAAAGTAAGAGGCGTATGGCGTACATGTATTAGCGATTTTTCTTTCCAGGCGATGAGGTGGTTCTCCTGTCGACCGATTATGACCCCAAACAAGCGGAAGTGACGACAATTAAACAATGTAATGACTGCAGTACGAAGGAGACAAGAATCAATCGTACGTATGCAGCCTCGATTTGATAAAAATATTTACGGCAACCACTGACTAGTGACGTATGATGAAAAATAAATTTTCATCAAGTTTTCTTTTCATTTAAAGCTTTCTGGATGTATTAGATATCAAATAAATATAATACACAAATCTTGTTCTCGCATATTCTGTTTTATCCCAAAAGCGCTTAATAGAGTTCAAGACCAGATGTTTTGCATAATTATATACATCTTGTTTTCAGTGAACAGAATATTTCCTGTTAATTTAAATAATAATTTTATTGACTTGATATACAGTATCTTAATTTTTATTCTTAAATTGCAGTTGAGCCTTTGTTTTCACACTTTGGACAAATGGTTAATGGCGTCGATATGCGAGGAGAAGTTGCTCTACTGAGCCGTAATATTAAAATCCGAGGGGCTCCGGCTTCTAATAGCAAGACACTCGGGGGGCATATCAAGGTATGTTTTTTTAAAGTTCACAATTTTAGATTAAGAAAACATCATTTTCATATATTGTTCCACATTATTTTGAAAAAAAAAACTTATGGTAGAAGTCAATCAATCTTGGGCTTAGTCCTCCACATTCCACACAAGCACAAAAAGTAAATTGTGGAAAAATAATCAACAAATCGATGCATTTCTCCTACGAAACTGCCTTTGAAGTTAACTCATTTCATTTTTCACATTATTTATAGTTATTTATCTTATCCAATCCCTCCTTGTATATTGGTTATCATCACAACCTTCTGTAAGAAGTATTTAAATAACAAAATTGATCAATAAAAAACATTATAAATAGAATAATATCATGTGTGTAACAAAAACATAAAAAAGAATTGACCTCCGAAATCTCCAGAGGTGGAATCAGCTGCCGAGAAGGAGTGAGCATCCCCTGATGACCTGTCACTCTCGCCGTGAACCCAATGTTTTGATGAGGTAGACAGAACTTTCCTTGTCAAATTCAGCTTAAAAACAGAGGCCTTACGAAGGATATGAAACACGTCAACCAAAACACGACCATAGGCAAGGCTGTATGTGCTAACAAGGTCATTTTATATGGACCATAAAATGTAAGAAATGTCCACTATAAAAGAGGTTGTTAAAATCACTACATTTACATTCAGTGTAATTTTCTTTTTTGAAATCTATTTGAAATCCATGACGTTCAAATCTCTATAACACACGCGAAACCTTGTCACTGCGCGTTAGAATACACAGTAGGAACCATATGCATTTTCAAAACTTTAGGAACACCAAAATGTACATTGTTTTGACACAATTTAATAAGAAAAATTAACCCTGTTAAATTAACATAAGAATACAACAAATGTGAGTTTTAAATTAATTTGTCACTTATTTTCTAGCAATTTTCGTTTGCATGACTTAACTTTTGAAACGTCACAATCGGCTCTTACGTCTATATAGCACACCAGTTTGGAAGGGCGCTAAATTCACATTTTAGATTACTGAAATAATCAATTATAAAGAGTAAAAATTAGAGAATGTAAATATAAGGATTGAAATCATATTTTAGGATGTCTTTGGTTATATAACACACCTTTCCTTGCCAACTAATTAACTTCGGAAAATTTTAACATCAATAAGGAAAGTTGTTGATGGCGTAGTTCAATTTATCTCGTTTTTTTTTAATTGTTTTTGTCCTCTACAGTCAGTAAAACGTCAAAATTTGTACTGATGTGTTTAACTCTGTGTTGTCTTATTTCTCAAAGGTGTTTGGATATATCGAGTGAATATTCAAATAAAATGTCGAAATGAAGACCACAGCAAATTTTTTACTTTCGGTTTTTGAAATTGAATATCTATTATGACGTCATTTAGAAAATGTCAAGATTTGGAGAATGCCAAGACATTTTCTAAGTTTTCAGCGGTTCCCCGTGCTTTTTAAAAAGGCAAAGTTGTTTACACTTCATTAACATGGCGACGGTTTTAGACGTAACGGTGAAACATTTTTTTAGAACAAGTTCTGGCGCTTTTACAGACCCTTAATAGATATTGAAATCGATAAAATATATATTTACATATTAGAATTCTCTTAATGACATAATACATATAACTATAATTTGATCTCTATATGACAATTCTATAATTTTGCTTTATTTTTTTTTTCAATTTTTCCCTGCCAAATTCTCTAAAAAGTTTTATGACAAATACAGCCCTTTCATTCGGTCGATCTTATATAAATATAGTCCTTTGATGAGGTCAATCCATAGATATATCGACTTCACAGAAAAGCATATTTACCGAGCGAGGTCGATATGCTTTTCTGTGAAGTCGATATATCTATGGATTGACCGAATTAAAGGGCTACGTTTGTTATATTATTTTTTTACATACATGTAGATTGACAAAACACAATTTGAAAATAATGACAAAACACAATTTGAAAATACTGTAAGAACAAGGCACAATTTTCGTTTTCTTTCTCCTTTAAAAGAAGAGCTCCATATAAAGATATACAAAAATGATCAAATTTTAAAACTAAAATGTATGAATTTTTTCTTTCCTTATGATAGTTGAGAGGTTAAGATACATGTACCATATTTAAAAAAAAATTAGTTAAATATGGTGGTTAATTTGCGGTTAATTTGTTGACCCCCAGCCTCCTTAAGCAGCTTAATGTTATTGTGTTTCCTTTATACGAGTCAATTGAATAACTAACATGATGTAACAAAGTACATGTACAACATTTATTTGATTACATTGTAATATATTTTCTATCAATTTTTGACAAATATATACAATATGTTTATAATATCAAGTACATCCGAATTCAAGGCATACTGTTACGTCTCATCAATTACAGAGCAATACAAAAAATATTAATACAACACGAAGCATATATTTTGTTCAGAAACACTGTTCATTGTACTACCTATAATTGTGAAATCAGTACTATTTTTTGTTTTACAGAAAATATTTTCTCCATTTTAAGAAACATCAAGTCCATATGCATTTCAGATTCTATAAATAGTAACTCAAGTCTATATGCTGTTATATACTTAATCATGTGATCAAGTTTGAGCCAATCAGAGAGCTTGGAATAAATGATAAAAATGATATGATGAATATATCGACTTCAAAGTAAAGCATATCAACCTCGCACGAACGCAGTCAATATGCTTTTCTGTAAAGTCGATATATCTATGGATCGACCAAATGAAATTCAGGATCACGTTATATAAAACACGTGGAATGGTTGTTTTTGAGCGGAAGCATTTCATTCTCACTCAATTCCATTCATGAAACAAAACAAGGACAAGCAGCTACCGGCAGTAACAAAAATCACTGCTTATCATTAAAAAAAACTTGTCCTGATTAGTTGAATGTACCGACGGGATAGTACTGTCAATATATTATAAAATCAAAACGCAGTGTCGATTATTTTTCACTCTTGAAAACTGATCTATAATTTTACCAGACAAACTTTGTAAAAAAATGCTCTAGGGTAGGTAATTTTCTTTGCTTGCGTGACATTGATTTGAAGACCTTAGTTCATGACATTTACATATAATGAATGGTTCAATAAACACGTGAAGATATTTGTTGGCTCAAAAGCGTGAAATAAAATTTTAATAGTCACGAAAAGAGCCTTAGGAAATTAAGTTATTTATATTAGGTTTAGAAGGACATTTTGAGGTCAGTCGACATATTCTTTGAAAATAGAAAATGTTCCCAAGATTAAGTATACTCTTCTTTAAAGCATGAAGTACCTTAACAGGCATTTGGGCAAGATACGTCCAGAAGGAGATATTTCTTTTACTTATACTAATTGTTAGGCCATTACAATGTATTTTTACACTGAAATGTCAACAGTTTTTTCCGTTTTTCCAATCACGACAAGGAGCACACGGCGGGTGTAAGGGGATGCTCATTCATTCTTGGCACCTGATCCCGCCTTTGACATTCTGGAGGTCCGCGTTTGCTCTGCTCCTATTTTGTATTGTTTTATGGCCTTTTGAGCTTGAATGCTGTTCGTTATCTCCATATATTTCATTAATGGACTTTTGAGCTTATTATTGTTCCGTCACGTGCAGAAAATTTCACGTGTCAACGATCATGGATAATTGATTATGACATTTCAACAGTATTAATATATACATTTTTTTTATACATACATGCATATATCTTATGATATGCATACAATATTTCCTCTTTGATTTTCATATCAATGACTCTTGTCTATTTGTACCAAAAACCATAATTGTGCCATTTTTTTTATCTTGAAAGACTTCGGGGTGATTGATCAAAGAAAAAAAAGTTCTACTTTCAGAATAATAAAAGATGTGTCCTATTAGTAGCATCCACAAGTCAAATTTTATATTTAGTATTTACCATTTGTATTATATATTAAATCAACGCATATTAAAATCATTTAAGGAAAATATCATTTTGAGATTTTCTGGTTAAGCATTGTTACTAAAAATAGATTGTGAAATGTAAGGGTATTGCTCTTGTGTGTGACCACTTATGGATGCTATTATTAGAAATTTTAGATCACTTAGATTCCTTTTGTGAAAGTACATAAAATGTTTTATTTTGCGACCGATTTGAAAGTTGGATATTTAGATTTTAAACTTCTACTTTTCTCTGTGTTCATTTTCATCGTAGAAATGCGTGAATAACTGCGATGTAATTAAAAAATATGAAATTATTAGATACTAATATTTTATAAGACAGGGTCGTATTGTATTCAGGGGATGCTCACTTCTCCATGGCACCTGACCCACTTCTGAAGTTTTCGAGGTCCGTGTTCGCTCTTTCCTTTTTTATATTGTATTAGGGACTTGATATTGAATACTGTTTTTTATCTCCATATCCTTCGTTCAGACGTGTCTCTGCTAAAAATCCACGTTTTTTGTTAAATTTTGTAGGTTCTACAGGGTTTTAAAGAAGCACAGGTCGAGAATGTGGAGCTGGTCAACATGGGTCAATTAGATAGCTTAGGTAAGAATGTGGACACTGCTTCTGTAAGATAAGCACATAGCTTCATAAGCTTAAGCAATTAACAGCATGAGAGTATTTACAGTTAAACAAAATGAATATTTACAGTGTGCTACATTAGCAGTCTACAATATATATTAGCATTTCTCTCAACAGCATGAGCACATATAATTATGTTCATACAACAATTTTATAGTCAACAATTCAAACATTTTAGAATAAATTATTGGAAAATTTCACAATAAAAAAGTTTAACATTTTACTGTCAATAATTTCAATAGTTTACAGTCAACAAAATAAAGAGTTACATTTCATGATTTAAAATACACTCTAAACAATCTGTGCATTTACAAAAAACATCGACATCGTTTACAGATAGGATGAATTGATATTAAGGACATTAACAAATAACTACTGTGTATGTGATTATTACCTTTGGTTAAGATTTATATTCTTATTATAAGTCAAATTTTTAAATGTGAAATTAACGTTTTAACCATTGCAGGAAATTATCCATTCCACTGGCATATGTGTGGTGACGTCACAAACTCGTATATTCGGGGTAGTGTTATCCGGGATTCTAATGCACGATGCGTGACTATTCATGCCACAAATGGTGCCGTGGTGAGTAAAAACAAATGTATAGCAAATATGAGTGAAGAGGTAAGAATATGGTCGAACAGGAAGAGAATAATACCCGTGACAAAAAAGAAAGTAAATATTGAATGTTGATTATGGGCCTTTAGTAAAAGACAATTTTCTCATAATTATTATGGAACTTTTCATTTTTTTGAGGTTTTTTCATACTTTCCTGTAATACTTTTGTTAAAAAATTATTGAGAAAGACAACTTTACTTTAAAGATATACCGTACCTTTAGAAAAAAACTATCGTATGTTTTTATGAAATATTTGATGTTAATTATTGTAGTGGTCATATCACAAATAATATGTGATAACTAGTACCTGCATATGTGGTTAACGTGTTAATCTCAAAGAAACTCAACAGTTTTATTTCTTAGGTTCATAACCTAACAAGAATAGTTTTCTTGAAACCGTAGTATAATTTGCCGAGGGAATTTGCTACAGACAGATTTTTCTTGTATAATTTCAAACTGAACTTTGCTATGGATACTTAGTCAAAACTGAGTTTTATACAACTAAAGCTAAAGACATTTCCTGCATGAAATTTCCTTATCTTTTTTCATATAATTAAACATGTCTTGTAATGAGGTTACAAAACTATATATTTATAAAGGTGAATGTTTAATTCAAAGAACAAAAGATACATTCTCCTTAAAGAAATAAAATAAAGTTTTATTTAGTAGCAAATGAAAATACTAAATTTGTATGAGCATTTAGATATGACCACCAGCAAATGTATTTGACTTATCAGAGTGTGTCCCAAAATGAAATCATTTAAAACATACATGTCTACATCGATTGGACGAATTGTCGTGCACGGTTGAACATTTTATTTTAAGAAAACAGATATATCGGATAACAAAACTGTATTTGTTATTTTATCTAAATCTAATCAATAAATATTTAAAGTGAATATAAAACATCAAAAATTTTCAACATGCTCACTAAGATTTAAAATCATTAGTGTATGAATAAGTACACTCACACCAAAGAGGACTTATTGCTCAGTTCATCATATTCATATAATTATAACATTTTTTTTTCATATAAGTTAGTCGTTGCTCCAATTATTTCTGAAAGTTTATCTTCAGAATATGCGAAAAATTAGTTTACGCAGGCTAACAACATATGGAGAGAGACTCGTAATATTTATAGGTAATTTTTATAACATAACTTTCATATCTTTTGAAGAAATAGTTGATGTTTATTTTTTCAGTGTCCATATCACAAACATCATATGACTGCCAGTATTTATGAATGAGTATTGAAGTGCTTGTTGTGTTCATCTCAAAATTTCTAGATTTCATTATCAATTAATAGTTTTAAAACATAAAATAGTCTTTCGCAGGAAGACATTTTGCTTGACATGCTTTCATACATTTCAATAACACAAAATTTGTTCATCAAATTTGTGAATTTCAATCTCATACACTGAAAGCTAAAGGCATTTACCAAACATTGTTCTCTTACTTCTTGGAGGTCCGTGGGTTGCTCTGCTCCTAATTTGTATTGTTTTATGGACTTTTGATCTTGAATACTGTTTGTTATCTCCATGTTTCAAAATATAAAATCAATGTAACGAGGTTGCAAAATTATACATCAATTAAGATGGAAGTTTGATTCCAAGAATAAACACATATTTTATTCCTTTAAAACTGAAATGAAATGAATTTTAGTTTTATCAAAAATTATATTTTAATTTTACTTTCTTTTAATAGTAGCTGAAAATTATGCGTTTCAGATGAAGTCATACTTTAAATCAGCCAAATAAAAATTGTCTATTATTCATATATGACCAGGCAATTTTATTTGCCTGTTAAAAGTCTGGCCCTATCTAAACTGATTTTACATATTTTGTCCTTCAAGGCATACTCATGAATAACAGTTTGTCTTATTTGTTCTTCACGGTAGATTATACTAAAAGTTTGATAAACATTGAATGAATATTAATTTGACAATGACCTTAGGACATTTTAAGATCATTGCAATTTAATACAATGTAAATTCAACCATTCATTCATGTTTCATTTGAAAAATATGGACTCCGTTCTCAATATGAATGAAAAATCGTTCGAAGATTCTTTTATGTCGCTTTGTCAATTTAAAAAAAAATCTTCTAGATGAATATTAAAATAAATTGATATTTAAATGTTTTCAGTGCTTCAGAACGTTTTAGTGACAAAGTAATGAAAAGGTTTTTCTTCCCTACAAGTGTGTATATAACAGGTAGAAATAATATCTGTTTTAACAGGTGGAGAATAATGTCTGTTTTAATGCCGTGGGACATGGATACTTCTTGGAAGAAGGTGGCGAGGTGAACACAGTATTAAGTGGTAACCTCGGAGCCGGAACTATCCGAACAAATTCACTGACCAAAACAGACATGTAATTGTTTTTCGTATTTGTTTTGATACAACCATATTATCTGTCTAAGTACATTGACGAAATAAATGTATCAGGCAAAAAAAGTATAATTTCAATTATTTACCAGTAATTTAATTTTTTAAAAAATATGTTTTTGACACATCATAACAACATTTGAGCTAGGAGCTTATTCTGGCATGTTGTTCGATTGGTACAACCTATAACAATACGATGCACTTAGTTTATTCTATAACTTTAAGAAAACAAAATAATATTTGTAGAATGCCTTCAACCTTTTGGATTACGAATCCCAAAACAACTTTGAAAAATAATGTTGCTGCCGGAAGTGACGTAAGTTCACAAATTATTAAAAAGAAAGCAAATTCTAAATAAAATTCATAGTAGTTGCTTGGGCAAGAAAGATTCATTTGGTTGTTAAATGGATCACAAAGATTTTTTTTCAAGTAAATTCTTTTGGTACTGTGAATCCGTCTGTTCTTATCTATTATAATTCTGTTCACGCCATTCTTGTTTTGAAAACTTTACAATATTTTCCTCTGAAGAACCACTCAGTCACTCCAACCAAAATCTTCGCAAGGGTAAATGCAATTTAACTTTTCTTTAAATGAAAGGTAAGTTGTTTTTGATTGAGGAGATAAAGTAAAAGGAAATAAATTATGTAAAAGTACTCTTTTAAACTTTCTTTTTAAGGGCTGCAGGACAATTTAAAGTCATATCATACTTGTAGTTCATTATTTACGATGCAAATTCGACAGGATTGCTTACTTCTTCATGGACTCTCGTCCCACCTCTGATGTTATTATGCATGTATTACCATATTTGCTCCATACTCACAATTTATATCAAATAACTTTTTAAGCATTGTTGCTGGTAGATATTTAATCTATTTATTATAAATAAACGCAATGTTATGATTTGACAAAGTGAAGCTTCAGTTATAGTTATTTTTTTTTTTAACTAAATGAGGTAAAGATGTGCCCTTGCTTGCTGACAAAACATATATAAATGTAAAAAAATATATATAGATTTTTTTTATCATGGGGAACTGTGAAGAAACTTAGGTTTATGTGCCTTTTAGTATCATTAGTTCAATTGTTTTAGAAAGATAAACATAATACTTTCAGTACTCTGGAATCTGGTACGTGTTTCCTGACGAGCCTATTGGAGCCTCCTACGGAGTGGTGAAAACAATGCAAAAAGACGAAGCCAAACGAACACCCATCAGAGAGTTCACCAATAATGTCGTCCACTCAAATCGTGTGGTAAATAAATCGTAAACTAAATGTTTTCATGTCTCATATTTATAATCATTTTAGTGATAAATAACTATTTGGATGAAAGCATCTAGGTACCTGAAGATCCATATATTGTGTAATTCAAACTGTAAAGTCAGTTTTCGTGTAGGTAATTGCAAACGATTTAGCAAACATTCTGTATCCCAGTGTGAAAACAAGTGTGTTACCCTACAAAATAATACTTGAATTATAACTATAGTATACAATAGTGAACTATAGTATCAAAGTAAAAACCACTGGAATTTTGATTAATTATGATAACAACTTTGGAACATTGATTAACTACCGGTATGTGAAAACGTGAGATCCATGATTTACTAATTAATAGAAAATTTGGGAACTTTGATTTAGAATATTGAAAAAATTGAAACTTAAATTAACTATAGTAAATTATAGTTAACTATGCTTTATTTATTTGTTAGAGTATATATACTTTGTAGTTAGTTACCAATATGAACTACTGGAATACAACTGAATTTGTGACAGGCTTTAGGAGGACACTGGTCCGTTCTTAAAGGACCATTTGAAGAAAACATTTAAGAAAATTAAACAAATCAGTATTCCATGAACATAGAAGTCAATTATTGCTCTGTAATCTATTAATATAATCAGTAAAAACATTAACATAGATGAATGTCTACTTTTTGTAATCTTTTCATATTATCAGTAAAACATGGAGATAGATAAAAGTCGAAACTTTGTAAACTATTATTTTAATCAGTAAACACAATAAGATAGATGAATGTCAATTCTTTGTAATCTATTAATACAGTAGTATCAGTAAAATCGTTAAGATAGATGAACGTCGATACTTTGTAATATATTAATACTAGTATGATAAGTAAAACATTAAGACAAATGAATGTCGATACTTTGTAATCTATTAATAGTAACTGTAAAACATTCAGATAGGTGAATATCGATACTTTGTAATCTATACGTTGTGTGTTTATCATTCTAGGCTGGACTTCTGTTCGAAAGGCGTCTAGAAAACAACACAGCCTTTGGGTGGGGGACGAAATATACACCCCTTAGTGATCCTCTGGACGAGAATTCCGCCCCAAAGGCAGCGGTCTTCAACAGATTAACGGGTAATGTTTTCATTTTCCTTTGTCCAATCAGTTTTTAAAATTTAAGATTAAAATCAAATTATGACTTCGTGTGCGATCTCATATATGAAGCCTTTAGGTAATTTCTTTATCCCTTGGATCAAATTGATACCAAAGTAGGGTATTAGAAAGTTTAACAAGAAGTGTATAAAGATAAGAAATATCAAGCTTTAAGCTCCATTAAATGCATACATATCAGAAGTAGAGCAAACATGGTTCCAAAATCATACGAGGTAAGATCAGGTGACATGAAGAAAGGAGATTCCCCTACAGACCGGTCACAATCGCTGGGGTGAAAGGCAATTCATAATTAAAAGCAGGAGTTTATAATCATATATTTATTATGTTTGTCACATTAGACATTATGTGTGCACGGTTGCTGAGCGTTGAAACGCTAGCGCTGAATCGTAGATAAACACAAAATGAATAAGAACAATCGCTTAATGGATAAAACAAATAAAAGCCTTCCTTGCTACACGCAATATATAACGTAACAGAGAATAAATATGTCTACAGAATGTTCTTTGAACTGTTGCGGTTGTTATCTGTTTCAGCCTATAAGAATGAGAGATTCAATACTTGGTTTGATGCCGCCAATATCCATGTGACACAATCGTCGTAAGTACTAGAAATCGTTTAAAGGGGTATAACTGCTAATAAAGAGGAAATGCATATGCACAATGATAGTTTATCAACCATCAAAAACATAACGTATATTTTTTGCATATATGATATCTTTATACTTACAAGCTTACAAAACGGAATAGCATAGTTAAACAAAATATTTAGTAAAAATACCTTGGCATTTTTTTTTATTAACGTTAAGTTCTATTTTGTCTGAAATTTAGCAAAATTACCGATTTGTTTAAAGTATCAAAATTAATACATATTTTTATTTTTTAAAAAAGTTTCAGTTAACTTATATGTAAACATGATTTTTTTCTTGCAGATTCTCCGACAGCTTGATATCATTTGCAGTGATCAGGTTAAGAAATAAGCCTTTCGTGAGCTTTATTGTAACAATTTTCTAAATTTTAAACGCTTTAGCTACTGCGACACGTAGATGACAATATCAGATATATAATTGTATCTCAGATTTATAATTTTCACATTCAACAGTTGGCATTTTTTTTTGGTGTTTTCTGCTCATTCCAGGAGTAGCGATGGTCCTCATTGTCTGGTAACTAACAGCGTGTTCATGGGAGAATCTATCAACCTTGGAGAACCCTCTATCATCAGAGGGAATGGCATGGTAAAAACTTATCCCCGGGCTGTACCACTGATGATGGCGTAAGATATCATTTATTATCTTACTTGGTTACCGCATTCCCTTATATCTTTATTTTAACAAATCAGCTTAGTTTTTACAGACAGGAATACAATTGAAAGATATATTAAATTCAGAAAATATATAAGTATTGTTACATTAATTTCTTTATCTACTTTTAATGACACTGTTTGCAGACAATCAGAGCAGTTAGCACTATTCTTGACACATAACATAATTCATAGATCCTAACCTTTTTACACTGTTCGTAACAAAAAAAAAAACCAAAGTAAATTTGATGTCACGTGGATTTCCAGTCCAATGATGTCCGATTCATAGAAAGGTATAATTTTCTAACCTTAAATATCCATCCTATATTCAATGCACCACCAGGAGAAATTTAATAAATAAAATATAATTATTTGAGCAGTAATTAATTAATAATGGGAAAAACTATTTTTAAAAAAAAATAAATTCTACGAATATAAAAAAAATGCTATGGTGAAAAAATTCATATAGAATGGAAAAACTATTAAAAAATAATAACTCACTAAATGGATTTTTTAAAATAAATTTTATTGATTAAAAGCAAAAGGAGGGATAACTCTTCGATGGCGGGTCAACGTGAAAAATTTGGACACAATCCGCTCTTACATATTTAGATTAAAATATGAAGATTTTGTCTACATATTTTCAATATTCAGCCAATATAATATGTCTGTTATGCATTCAAATTCAATGAATGTGAGGCTATTATGGATCGGATACCTTAAGTGGAGTGGAGTTATTTAAAGTCTGACAAACGTATGGTATACTTTGCTCATCTGTTATAATAAACATATAGTGAATTGTTTTTTTTTTCATTTTGAAGTGTTCTTAGTGACTTAAATAGACATTCTTTATTTTTTTTATTGACTTTGCAGGAACCAGCCCCGTCAAGGTTTCGTGTTTTATGATCGAGCAGTCAGTCTGGAAGATTCGTGGTTTGGTAACTATGCTAGTACAGATGATTACAATGCTGGTGCACTTGGTTTTCAAAGAAACAACATGAAACTGGCTGCCAGTGGAGCTTTTACCAAAGGGCTTCTCTGGGGATTTAATGATGTAAGAAAATGAATCAAAATTTCTAACTAGTTCCTTTTGATTAACACTTAATCATCTGTTACACTTAGGTCGACTTAGTAGTTTGAACAGAAGTATGCTTGAAATAATCATCATTGATATTTTGTTAAGACTGCTCCTTAATGAATATTTTAGATAAAAACGAACAGTCACAAAAATAAATTGTTATTTTCATTTTATCAATCCCAGGCTTCTGAAGGAAATCGAGTGTTCGACGGAAATGCCACTGACCTCGGTTTCACGGCGTTTGACGGCGATGACATAGTTGTCATAAATGACCTTGATGGATCTACCACAGGTACAAAAGGTAATTCTGTGGTCAAACCTATACCATTCCACATGACTGAACAGTGCGAAGAAGTCGATAATTGGAAAATGGCGATTTGTCCACATGCATTTGGCCAAGTTCGTATACCTTAATATTTTTCCTTTTAATGATTTCATCATTTATTCCTAAAATATAAACCTGATGCAGCTGAATCCGGAAGGTCAAAATTTGACAATTACACATTTCAGGTTAGAGCCACATATGAAGGGATCGTGACTGACGAGATCACAGTCTCGCGAGATGATGACCCGGATGACCCTATCACGGGAGACAAAAGGTCATATGCACCTTTCCTGACAATTCTTGGAGGGAGTCATAGTTACTTAGTCCGCTCCAACGCCAAGAAAGCACCACGCTGGATGAAATTTCATTTCCTTGGCTTGTCAAAGTAAATAATCATTTTAAAAACAATTAAACTAAACAAAAGTCATTTATTCATTTTCACATCAATATTTTCTGAGTTATTTGAAGTCTTCATGTAGATATGAACTGGTCAATTGTATTCTTAACGATCATAGACTACAATACTTCAAGTTTTCATGTGGTAACTTGAATTCTTGCAATTAACCAGAGTCAAAAATAATTATTTTTAATAAAGTAAAAAGGTATCTGTGTGGAAGTATTAAGTTTTTAAACTGCCTTTTAGATCCAACTATGCAACTTTAGCTGTGTGTATTCCATCCAAAGCAACAGCCAGCGTATCTATGTACAATTTGGAGCTTAATAAATGGGAAAAGGGTATAGCAGTGTCATCGTATGAAGACTTTAAGAAAAGCACGTCTTTCAGAGACTATTTCGTAGACACAGCAGTAGGGTATGTAGAATATTTATACATTAATTAGTTTTAAAGAATTGTAAGTATACGCGGTGATGTAATCTATTTGATATGAAATATATGGAGATAATAAACAATATTCAAGCTCAAAAGGCCATTAAACAATAGAAAATACGAGCAGAGCTAACATGGAACTCCAAAATATCAGAGGTGGGATCAGGTGCCATTGAGGAGTGAGCATATGTGTTATAATTATGTGTAAAGTGTTTTGTTAAGTACACAAAATAGGTCATAATTATGTTATGTTAATATAAGAACGATTAGTATTATAAAATATTTTAAAAGTAAAAAAATACTGAAAATGAAAGAAACGCTTCAATATATGCATTTTTTTAAAAATCAAGAGTTGTGTTTGTGAATGCCATGCACGTCCGTGAACAGCTAGATACGGACAGAGGGAACTGCCTGGACGACAAGTGCCCGTATGTATATATTTCTAACAAAGATGGCGACAGAACAGACATGGATTGCTCTGACCGATTTTATGCCAAATACAAGAAAGACAAAGTCCAAGTGAGTACTTTTTATAAACAAGACGGATTCTGTACAAATTTATTCTGACACTACCTTTATTTTAAAGTTTTAAGTTTATAGTAAGCTATAATTTAAATGCCTTAGGTGACCATGCTGTATAAAAAGATTTTTGCAATCCTTTAAACGAAAAACTTATTATCAATCTTATTAATGAAATTTTTTATAATGTCAGTCTTCACGTAAAAAGAGGGAAACGACAGCCTCGAATGATGAATTCTCCGCTACACAACGCAGCCCACCATCTGTAAGTATAATTCACGTACACGTAAATATAAAATATCTATTGATTAGGGTTAAACTTTTAGTTGTCATGTATGTAAAATGTATATGGAATATGGTGGAATTTTATTAATCATGAAATTATCCGTAAGTTTACTTAACATTTATTTAGATTCTAACATTATCATGATGGTACATTCTTTACTTTTGATATTTGAGGAATTTTTTTAAATATCAAGATTATTTTTAAAAGAAATGTGCTTAATGAATACAGTCGAGAGAAAAACAAGAATAAAAGCAAGAGAATATCCTTCAAGTAACCTAGGATATGATTTCAATAATGTTTTGGTATTTTGGATCTATATTTAAATACCATAAATCGGGAGCAGGAGATATTGAGTGCTGACCCTTTAATCCCCATCACCTAAACTTGTTCCCCCCAAATATATTTTTCTTATTAGTAAGGATGTGGTCAGTAAAAGATTTGTTACTTCCTTTGAAATCATTTTGGTGCAGTGTGAACAGGATATATTTGTATACAAATTCCTTCTTTACCTTCTTTGTCAAACGTTTTTGAAAGAAATCTTCTCTTTTTGCAGAACTGGGGAGCTGGATCAACTGCAGCTTAAGTTCCTGACCATGCTTTCTGTAATACATAGATTCTGTTTACTACGAAATAAATGATTTATCAGTCTCTATTTTTATGACAAAGAATAATATGAGGTTGACAAAGCAATTCAATAAAAATTTTCTTTTTATTGTCTGAGAAACATATATAATTATCAATTTTGAAAATTTCTATTTTTAAATCTTAAACGATATAATTCAATGTAAAATAAAATGACCAGCAACTTCCTACTAACATTATTTTTAAATACAATGTAGTAACATTTCATGTCGCAATTACTTTAAAAAAATCCATGTCGTTATTTAATATCTGCCCATGGATTATGCTTTTCGTTACTTATGATTTATAGTATCATATAAATCACTGCAGTTAAGAATAACCTTGTTGTTAAAAATGTGCACACTCTACTTTAACAAGAAGCGTTGAGGATAAGTACGAACGTGCTGAAATTATCTTGCAAAATTTATAGTCATCGATGGTATTTTTTTACAATGAGAAATACGAGGGTTGATCCCAAAGTAATGTCACAACTTCGATAAAATCGCTACCCGTCGACGTAAAACAACAAAATTATTAATGATGAAAGCTACATTTATTTCAAATCAGACCTGAAAATTTCAATTCAGCATGATTTATGCTTTTCAAAATATCGGATTATATACAAATTGCGATTATGGTAGTCGCCGCACCTAAATAACGTCATATGACGGATACACGACGTCGTACATTTAAACTCTTCCCTTCGTTTCATTAAAAATATGAGAGATCCACGAACACGTTCACAAATTTCACCTTCTTAAAGAAAACTTGCTACCCATCGTACACTCACTCTTTCTGTAATTAATTCTTCTGTCAAAATTCTTTGAACAGTAGCATAAGACCAACTTAAAATTTCACATATCGGTCTAACCGTCTGTCTTTTTTGACAACGCCACACACCATTGAACGTTTCCGTCCGTCCTCTCATCTTTCGCTCTTCTTGTCATCTGCTGAGCATTCAATGACCCATCACCCATCCAAAATCGCTGAAACTATCTAAACAAGTCTCTTATTTGCATTCTTTCCTCTGTGAGACTGGTGAATCAACGTTACTGTCTCTTCTGGCGATTTCTTCATTTTGAAGGTAAAATGCATTACAGTTTGTTCTGGCTTTGTTTGCCCATTTCGGCATTTCCTTTTTTTTCAATGCAATGCACCGGAGTAAAACAACGATGTTTTTTAAATAAAAAATAGCAATTATGTCATATACTTTGCAACTTAAGACTAAAAAATGCTGTAATTTTTTGTCTTTTCAAATATTTTGTGATTAGGCGCTTTTATTAGATGTTTTTTAATGTGTTTGTCTTCTTTAATTAAAAAAAAGTACACTTTAATTTGTGACGTTCGGTTGTGACGCGGCGACCCCCCATATGTTCTATGTTTTAAACATCTATAAAATAAATTCAGTTAAACATTATTGAATGAAAAATTCAAGTTAAATTCAATTTATATTTGTGCATCTTTTGGTATATTATATTTGATGATATGACGCCAAATATAAAAGATATGGACGCTGTGACATTACTTTTGGATCAACCCTCGTATAAACCTCAGAACTTTAATATTTGGTTTCATTGCATGTGATTCAAAATTGTGTCAGTCCCTTTAATGATGGTGCAGGTTGTGCCATGATGGTTACAATACCTACAGGCTCCATAAGCGACCCTGTCTTTTTGCTTCAAATTTTAAAATAAATCGAATATTCCAATGGAAAAACATATCCCTGGGTCATTCCCATTCTCTTTCATAGAAGAATTTTAAAATAAATCGAATATTCCAATGGATAAACATATCCCTGGGTCATTCCCATTCTCTTTCATAGAAGAATTTTAAAATAAATCGAATATTCCAATGGATAAACATATCCCTGGGTCATTCCCATTCTCTTTCATAGAAGAATTTTAAAATAAATCGAATATTCCAATGGATAAACATATCCCTGGGTCATTCCCATTCTCTTTCATAGAAGAATTTTAAAATAAATCGAATATTCCAATGGATAAACATATCCCTGGGTCATTCCCATTCTCTTTCATAGAAGAATTTTAAAATAAATCGAATATTCCAATGGATAAACATATCCCTGGGTCATTCCCATTCTCTTTCATAGAAGAATTTTAAAATAAATCGAATATTCCAATGGATAAACATATCCCTGGGTCATTCCCATTCTCTTTCATAGAAGAATTTTAAAATAAATCGAATATTCCAATGGATAAACATATCCCTGGGTCATTCCCATTCTCTTTCATAGAAGAAGTTTAAAATAAATCGAATATTCCAATTAATAAACATATCTGGGTCATTCCCATTCTCTTTCATAGAAGAATTTTAAAATAAATCGAATATTCATATCCCTGGGTCATTCCCAATAGGAATTTTAAACATGGATAAACATATCCTGAAGAATTTTAAAATAAATCGAATATTCCAATGGATAAACATATCCCTGGGTCATTCTCTTTTCATAGAAGAATTTTAAAATAAATCGAATATTCCAATGGATAAACATATCCCTGGGTCATTCCCATTCTCTTTCATAGAAGAAGTTTAAAATAAATCGAATATTCCAATTAATAAACATATCCCTGGGTCATTCCCATTCTCTTTCATAGAAGAATTTTAAAATAAATCGAATATTCCAATGGATAAACATATCCCTGGGTCATTCCCATTCTCTTTCATAGAAGAATTTTAAAATAAATCGAATATTCCAATGGATAAACATATCCCTGGGTCATTCCCATTCTCTTTCATAGAAGAATTTTAAAATAAATCGAATATTCCAAAGGATAAACATATCCCTGGGTCATTCCCATTCTCTTTCATAGAAGAATTTTAAAATAAATCGAATATTCCAAAGGATAAACATATCCCTGGGTCATTCCCATTCTCTTTCATAGAAGAATTTTAAAATAAATCGAATATTCCAATTAATAAACATATCCCTGGGTCATTCCCATTCTCTTTCATAGTCGATCAAATCTCTTCAAAGTGGAAGATGTTAACCAATGAATCATATGCTGTAAATCACTTTTTATTCGCAAGAACTTGATTTTCGCGTAATTTCGCGAGACGGTATGCTCGGGAAAATTTCATTCTCGTGTATAATGGAATTCCTTAAGATGATATAGAGAAATAACCACAATTCGTGAAAAATTTGTCTCGCTAATAAATCGTCAGTGACTATCTCGCAAAAATAAGGTGTCGCGAAAATTAAGTGATCTACAGTATTTGTAAATGTCATCTTAAATGGGGGTATTCTATAAGGTGAGTTTCCAGGGGTAGACCCTCCTCGTAATATAGTGAATTATTAAAATATCCTTTCAGCAGTAGAAATCTTTAACTTAAGATGATACTATCATAGTATACAGTTATTTAATGTCTGATAAGTCAGTACTGTTGACCAGAAGATATTTCCAAAGTGCTGGGAATAACTCAATGTGTTCTGGTCCTGACACCAAAAGAAACATATCCTAGTCTATTGACTTATCAGAAATTAAAGAAAAATGTTTCATACCTGTTATTGTAGTCTATATACATGGGTACTACAGGTCCAATAAATCTTTGGCCCAATAGTTGTCGCACACCACTGATCGGCGATTTAAAGATTACGTTTTAGTTCAGAGGAATAAATACTGCCCAGTATATAGAATAATTAAGAAATAAGGTATCATTTTTTGAGTTTTATTGGGATGTAAAACGGGTTGGTCACGTGATCAAATCCCATAAAGCCCTTCGGGCTTTATGGAAGATTTGATCATGTGCCAACCCGTTTTACATCCCAATAAAACTCAAAAAATGATACCTTATTACTTATATTTACATTTGTGACTTATTCATACTTTAAATTTGCCTGATTGTGACTTTTAACGTGTGAAATGCATTATTTTTCAACGGTATGTATGTAATCCACTGAACGCACATCGACCCTTTATGACGTCACTGAGAAATTACGTCGAACGTTTATCCATACGTACATCTATGACCTCTTGACCCCATACCTGTATTTATACAGTTATAAAAACGCTTGCTTTCAGTAGTGTTATATAAAGGAAAACATTTGCAAATGTAAATATGTAAATTTAAAAAATACATATTAATAAAGTGAAATGAGTTACAATTTTAGTAGGTAAAATTGTAATATATATTTTTGTGGCACTTGATTCAATGCATTAAGCCATGTATCGGCTTGTTATTTTCTATCCTGCCCCACCTACCCTACTCGGTCAAACTGATATTTTAAATAAAATAAATGAAAATTCTTGCACTTTTTTTTTCAAATATCGAGATATACAGTCAAGGGACATAATTATTTCCACTTCAAAATGGCCGCCGAAATTTTTACATCGCGCATCTTGATATTTCGGAGCCGTTTAAAAAAATAATAAATGCCCATCTTACCTCAATAATTTGTTAAATTGCCTTTCATCTCAAATAATTTATTTAGTCTACCGGGAATTGTCCTATACAGGTCCTTAATGTCGGAGGTTGGTATATTTTCCCAGGCAGTCCGAATTTCCGCCATTAGCTGATCTTTTGTGTTTATGAATTTGGCACAGGTTCCCAGTATTCTTTTTATTTTTAACGAAATGCTATTTAGATCAGGAGACTGGGCAGGCCATAATGTTGTAATTATGTTGTTATTGGCGATGTATTCTTTTACTAAATTTGCTCTATGTACGGGAACATTGTCGTCCATAAATATATACTCGTTACACACATACAAAATTTGTGTGCAGAAGGGGGAGGAATGCTGGCCATTCTATGTCACTTCATTAACATAAAAAATTCGAACTTCTGACCATCCTTTCCAACTTACAATAACAATCAATCTATTTAAGGAATGAATTTAATACCTACCCATTTTATACTGTATAAACTGGGTTGGGGCAGTTTACGCTTTATAAACCGCAAATTTTCATTCATTTGATATAAGAAAAAATATATTTGTTCTAACAAAATGACCTCAATTTGAACAAAATTTAAATGTCACGTCAGGTGGATTGATACGTTTGTGA